TTTGGCGAGTCTTTTGGTTATAAATCAATTCCCGAGGCTTCGGCTACCGTTTCAGCTACAGCTACACGCCGAACAAAGCGGAAGAGTTGAGATGAAGGCAAAAAAAAAAATTAACTATATAAAGAAAAATTACAGCAAAAAAGAATAGTTTAAACATTTGCCAAACATATGTGTACATATTCAATTATATTTTGACAAGAACAACAACTCCAGCGACTTTAGCCTGTTCTGCTTCTTTTTTTTTATAATACAACTATTCCGAGATTCTACTGGGTTCTCATTTCGTTGGCCCAGTTTATGGCTCCCAAATGCCCCGTGTCAAGTGTTAAACAACCTGTTGAGTGCACTTAATGTTGTTGCTGTTGTTGTTGGTATTGCCGGGGCAGTAAATCAAGCCAAAAAGGCGATAAGCTACACAAATGAATTGTGGGCCAACCGAAATGGTCACAGACAACAACAATAACTTTTAAAATAAAAACAAAAAAAAAAAAAGCGCAATAGAACCTGTTGATGATGTTGCCAGCCTCCGCGCCCCACGTCCCGCGCGGGCTAGTGAAAAGTCCACGACTGAAAAAAATCTGCCTGCGCTTTTTGTTTCAGTTTTTTGTTTTTTTTTTTTTTTTGTCTACTCGAAGTCGGACTCGGAGCTCGAGTTGTGCTTGCACTGAAATTTATGGCGTATAAATTATCTCACACGTTGACTATTGACAGCTTTAAAATAATCGTAAAACGGCCAAGAAATCATAAAAGAGCCACAGAGCGCACCACCGAAACCAGAACAGCCGCCGCCGCCGCCGCATTCGCAGTCGCAGTCGCAGTCGCACCACCGAAGCCATTCAATGTGAATTACTATTTCGGCTTCGAGCTAAACTGCAAAAAAAAAAAACTAAATAAAAAAAGGAGCGAGAACCACAAAACAAAAATGTATATAGACTGTCAGACAGGCGACGACGTTGGCCCCAAAGCATCGTCCTATGTGGCCATGTCGTGGCATAGTACCCTCTCCCCCCCACCGACCCTCTCCGCAGCTGGAGCGGCCGGCACAAAATGGTAAAGTTCCCAACGGTTGGTGGGCCCCATAACTTGCATATCATGGGCCAAAAGCGGGAGACAGCCGGCGCGATAAGTATTCAATTCCTGAGACGGCCGTCAAATAATTTTAGCTAAGCTCCAAGTTCGCGCTGGCTTTCGGCAGCATTTCCTCTTAATTTATTTATTTATTTATTAATTTTTATTTATTTTATTTATTTATTTATTTATCTGATGATATGCCAAAGATCGGCAGCCATTAGCTATCCCATGCTATCAATGTGCCCCACTGAACGATCAATATGCCTTTTGCCACTGTTTTCTCTTTGGTTTTTGTGGCAAAATCAAACGAGTTTCATTGGCGCCTCATTAACAAGATATTGAGAAAAACGATCTGCTGGCATATTATGACATTTAGCAAAAGAAAAGCAATAGTTGAACAGGCAAAGATAAGCTATACGAACAGAAAATGCTTTCAAATCAATAGACAACTTTTTTTTCCTTTAGTTTTAATTGATGTTACCAAGGATATGTATAAAATGATATTTTCTTTATATTTTTCTATCAAGTGCGAATAAAAGCAAAGCAGGCAAAAGGCATATTTATTGTAACTAAGGCCTAGACTAAATGTAAAGAGTCTAGGAGCCTTCCTTTGGAATATTTACCTACGCCTTTTTAGGCTTATACAAAGTATTTTCTCAGACAAATTGCATCTTCTAGTACTCACGCATTCTTGCGACACATTCAATATTATTTGTAGATCTAAGCAAGCGTAGTTTATCTCTAAATCGGAAATGTTTTTACATAATCTTCAAAATCGATCAACCATTAATAAAATACCTATGCATCTATATATAGATATATATAATATATAGTTGTTCCTTCCTTTCAAAACGTTTTCAATTAAATGTTGAATGAAGCAAATTTGTAAGGCCTATTTAAAGTAATTTTTGACAATTATATGTGACTATCATTTAGTAAACCAAATAGTAGCGAGAGAGAGAGCTGTGCGCTTGAACTGTTTGAAAATTATAAAAACGGTTGTCTGTTTTCTTTATTGTCACGTCTGTCCGTCGAACAACTTAACAACCTGTATCGTAATTTAGAATTTGACTGCTTAAAGTGCTTAAGAATTGCAAGAAGTTTGTATTAGCTATTGTCGCATGTCCCTTCAACAAGTTTACAGCCTGCAACATAATTTACAGTTTTGGGATTTGCTTCTGTTAAGTGCTTGCCAAATGTGCCTAAAAGTCAGCCATAATCCACCTGCAGATATTTTCTGCGAAAGCCCTTAAGCACCAGATGAGAGTTAACAATTTTCCCTTTTTTTTTTTTTGCTTTTGTTCTTTCTGTTTGCCCAACTAACTGCCCACAAATTGTGTGACCACCCAGTGGCAAAATTTGAGGGCGAGGGCTTTTCTGGCATTCAGTTTTTGCATCTCAACGGCTCATTATGCTGGTTAATTTATAGTCGGTGGCACGCCCATTTGGACATCTAACATCGGCTGTGGGGGCCCATATACGAAATGCGCAATTCTTCAGGCTAAACGCGGCAGCTGCTGCCGGCTACGCTTTTTGCTCAATAAATCAAAGCAGCTGAGCTAAGAAGCCATAGAATCGACACAAGACTGCCAACTTTTTGTCTATTCTAGCAGCAACAGTTGCTGCCGTAGCGGCTGCTGTTGCTGCTGTTGTCGGTGGCTCGTAAAGCGACTTGAGCAACTGTTGACCGTAAAAATGATGAAGAAAATGGCGCATAAAAAATGCTGACGTACTTGGAACCGCATTGACGTTCACTGCAAGATCAGGCGGAGGCGGCAGCAGCAGCAATTGCTGTTGCAGCAGCAGCAGCAGCAGCAGCAGCAATATGAGGCTGCAAATATTGTTGCCTGCGGCCTGTGACAGCTTGAGGCTTCCAGGCAGTTAGTCAGTCAGCCAGCTAGGCCCAACATTCTTCATCTTCATCATCATCGTCATCGTCATCATCATCATCATCAGCTGCAACTCAGGACAGTCATAAATGTTGATGAACAGCAGGCGAACTTTGTTAAAGGCGTTGCTGTGCTTTTGTTGCTGCTGCTGCTGCTGTGCAACAGCAACAACAAAATTGAAAAGATGCAACCAGCAGATACAACAAAACAACAAAAACAAAAAAAAAAGGTTGCAATGTTTTATGACTTTTGGCTGCGCTTTGTTCTATGCGTATGCCCCATGGCCGTGCCCCATCTTGTGGCCCCGTCTGTGCCCGTTGACAGCTTTGACTTTTGACTTCTGTTGCCCCTTCCGAAGGGGGGCACGCCTTCCTACCTCCCTGCCGCCACACTTGCAACGCCTGTCCGAGCGGAGTCCACAATTTATGAGTCGTCAGTTGGCAGCTTGGCAAGTTGGCAAGCTGCAAGCAGCTAGTTGCAAGCACCAAGCTGCAAGTCGGCAGTTTTATGGGCCGCTTTGAGTCCCATTTGGCGATGTGCATGCACAAATCAGCAGGCTTACAAATTTGTTGACGCAATTTGTTGGCCATTTGGGGGCGAAAGCAATAGGAACAGAAGCAGTCGAAGCAGCCAAAGCAGCCGAAGCAGCCGAGGCAAACGCCGTCAACTGGGCAGCAAAATTCAAAGTTTTTGGCTGACATTAAACAGTCAGCAAAAGTGAAAATTTGACACGAGAGCAAATGAAATAAAACAAAAAGCAACACAGTCAAACAAACTACAGCGGCAACAACAACTTGCAACAGCGACAACTCGCAACAACAACAACAACAACAACAGCTCGCAACAACAAGAAAACTTTTGACAAGTCGCAGCAAACTTTTTGCCCGGCCAACAGCCAGGCGCACAAAATGGGCGCACAGGAAGAAGATAGCAACAGGAGCGCAGCGGCAGCGCGAAGAGTCCAGCAGTCGCTTGTGGGTTGTGGGTTGGGTGCTGGGGGTTGCGAGTTAGCGGCTCGGTAGTGTGCGATACGACCCTGCAGCAAGTTCAAAAGTGCAAAACTTTGCTTCATGCTTGGCCCAAAACAGTGCGTCAAAAAAAAAAAAAAACAAAAACAAAAACAAAACAGGGGCAAAAAGTAAGGAATTGACGACCGAAACTTTTCTGTCCGGCCAAATCACAATTCTTAACCCATGTGCGCCCATTGCCCTGGGCCCCTCGCAGAGGCAACTATTTATGCACACGAAATTGAAAGGATTAAAGACTTCCATCCGAAAGTCATCGAGCCTATAATGATTTATGTTTAAGCCATGCGGAATATGTTTGGAGAATTTGGGCTTTCTTCTTAGCATATTTATGAGTATAAATTAATTGTGTTCCGCAAAAATCTTTTTGATTAAGCTAAATCTCATGGGAAATACGCGTCAAAGCAAAGTAAGACCAAGTAACTGGATCCTTAGATGAAGTCTACACACATTCTCAGTTGCCCCTCGTATGCGATATAATCGTAAAAGAGTAACTAAGCGCCCAAATAGATAGGTCTAGTATAAGATCTGTAATTTCCAGGATTTTGAAATGAACTACTTGGTTATCCCTTTTGCTATAAGGAATAATTTCGAACACTGCTCAGCTCTATTTTAAGCGCTTTTCCTTTCAGTTCATTTCTTTTAGTCTTTCGAAAGATTTGCCCTTTATATTTTAAAAGAAAGATTAGTTTCTGGATCATTTCAGAAGTTTTGGATTCTGGCAATGCATCGAATATCGTTCTCAAGAGAAAGATATGATTTTAGGCACACGCACACATATAAAGAAGAATTACAAAATAATAAAAAATAATATAAATAATACAAATTTCTCTCTTATAAAAACCTTGCCAAGAAAGTCTTAAAACATAACTTAACCCATGCTGACCAAGCTGAGCGAAAGGGAACAAGGTATTAGCTGAAAACTTTGATACTGATCTTTTTGTCAGATTAACCCATGACTTAGCCGATATTTTGCGCAACTTAACCCACGCTGGCCCCAAACTGTTGGACTCACCTATATTGTGCTGATTTGTGTGCAGGACCGCACCAAATGCCATTAGATCCTTGACGGGTGGTGCTCGGCTACCGAGGGCGGCAAAACCGTCGCCCAGAAATGACGCCAGCGCGACAGCCCTGAGGGGCGCTTTGGATGCCTCGGTGAGAATTTTGTTATCGAATATATCGAAGCTGGGGGGCGAGATGATAATGGTCACGATGATAATGCTACACGCACAAGCGCGACGAACGCGTGCGCACACACACGCACACACGCACACAAGCGCACCCACTCAGGCAGAGTGAGTGCAGGTGCGAGTGAGGGAGGGGGCGAGAGAGCGGCCAAGAGCGGTATAAAGAGAGACCGAGCGAGATGTGTGGAGCACGTGTGTTGTTGTGTTTTATGCCGGCGGCAAAACACGCGACAGCTGGCAGCTGATTTTGTTGTTGTTGTTATTTATGATTTGTATGTGTTGTTAAGCTTCTTTTTCTTCTTCTTGCTAGTAATCCACTTGACACTTTCTTTCGCAGGGAAGGAGCTGGGCGTTGTTGTTGTTGTTGTTGAGTTGTTGTATTCCTTGGCAAGTAACTCACTTGAAAAAAACTTTGGCAACAACTTCTTGTGTGCTCGAAAAAAAATCGAATCGCATCGAATCGCGACGCAGCTAAGTGTTAAAACCAAAAATAAGGACGCGCGGAACGCGGCGGGATTAGCAGTAATTGAGGCAAGAAACAGGAACACGAGCAGGAGCCAGAGAACAGCTGTTCTTCAAAAATTTCTTTGTTTTTGTGTGTCGGTTAACGGCTTTTGTTTTTGGCAACGTCTTTCGAAAGAACGGCAACGGTAACGGTAAACGGTAACGTATCGATGTCGATAACGATAACGGGCCGCAACATGCGAGCGCACCACGCGAACGTCAAACAAAAACTGAAAACGGCGACGGCAGCAACGGGCAGCAATAGCAACGAGGCGAACACCGAAAACTCGCTGCGTCGACAGCGACGGTGACGACGACGGCGGCAGAGCGAGCGCGAGCGAATGGCAATGCGAAGGCGAAAACACAGCCAAACACAAACTGAACCGGTACACGAGTCCGATACCTGATGCTGCTGCTGCTGCTGCTACTGCTGCTTTCGTCGCTGCTGCTGTTGCTGCTAGCGTCTGCCCTACCCCTTAGCGATGGTCGTGTACGAATCGCATGCGCGCTCACTCACACAGACGCACGCATACACGCGCATTATGCTCAATGGCAAACAATTTCCCCTGCGCATGCAGTTGCATGTGCCAGAGCGAGACAACTAGCTGCTACACATCGCTGCTGCAAAAATAGCAATGGAGTCTGTTGCTGACATTTGTCGCAGTCATCGGCTGCGGCGACAGTTGCCGTTGCTGTTGCCGCTGCCACTGCTGCTGTCGACGTCGTCGTCGTCGTTTGCGGTTAGAAGGGGGCGTTGCTAAGCAACTGGTTTCGGTTTCGGTTTCGGTTTCATGGCAGAAGCGTTCGAATTTCGTTGCTGTCGCTGCTATCGTAGCTGCTGTCGCTGCTTCTGGTGCTGCTGCTGCGCATCCTCTCTGCAGGCACTAGCAGCAGCCGATTGTTATTGTTGTTGCTGTTGTTGCTGGTTGGGGCAGAAAGTTTGTCGAACCAATGGCATTTTTCAAAGTGACATTTGGCGCTTTTGCTCGTGTTGTTACAGTCACATTCATGTTCGCCGCTCTGTCTCTCTGTCTGTGTGCATGTCTGCATGTGTGTGTGCGTGTGTATGTGTGTGTGCGTGGCTGTTGTCTCTCTGTGTGTGTGCGAGTTGTTGCCTTGCCAAGGTAAAATGTCAAATGCTTTTGGACTGTCAACTGTTGGTCGCAACTTTTCTTACATTTATTTTATTTTTTTTTTTTGTATTATTATTATTTTTTTTTGCTCTGTACTTGTGCAAACTTTGCATTGGCAAGAAGACAAGGTAGCTTTTTTTTTAAAGCGCAAGTTTAGGCACAGCAACAACAACAGCAAGAACAAGAAGAAGAAGAAGAGGCATTGCTGCCGCTGCCAAAGTCTTGTCGTTAGCGTTGTCAAAGGCAGCAGCAGCAGCAGAAAAGCAGAAAAATTCAACGCCCCTTTGGCGTTTTAACGTATTGGAGCAAAACAAAAAAAAATGAAAAAAAGGCGAGAAAAAAGGAAACACAACACAGACGTGTGTGCGTGTATGTGTGTGTGTGTGTGTGTGTGTGTGTGTGTGTGTGTGTGTGTACATTTGGTATTCCGGCAGCGTTCGCATTTCGCATTCAACGTGACATGGTAATAAGCCAAAGATCAAGCGCAATAAAAAATGAGTAAAAAAAAAATAAAAAAAATTAAACAAGCAAAAAATACACGAAAAACTGCACCAAAAAAAAAGCCAAACTTCAAATAGGAAAGAAGAAGCAGCAGCAGCAGCAGCTGCTTTGACACTCCCGAGAGCGAGAGTGAGTGTGTGAGCGAGCCAGAGATAGCGCGACGGAGCATGAGTGTGAGCGAGCGAACGAATGAGCTTTGTTGTTGGGCAGTGGGTGGCGCCCACTTGCTGTCTGTATGCGCGCGTGTGTGTGTTTCTGTGTGTGCGTGCGTGTGAGCGCCATTGTCGTTTGCTGCTGCTGCTCGTGGTGGTGCTGCCGGGCGCAGAGAGGGACAGCGCGGCTTGCTGAGTGGCGCTTGGCGGCTGCCGCTTATACAGATGCGGATGCTGCTGCTGGCAACGCAGTCGCGCCTTCGACTTCGACAGCTGGTTGAGCACTATCGGGAAGAGGTGGCACGGGGGGAAGCGGGCGTCATGGAACGTGAGCGGAAGCGGGAGCGACTTGCCAGCCTCCTGTATTTCCTTTTTATACATCTGCTTGTGTCTGTGTGCGTGTGTGTGTGTGTGTGTGTGTGAGTGCGGGAGTCAAAAATATTGCACATTAGGGTGTTAAGCTGTGAAGTGCTTGGCTGCCTCTGCCTGTCCTGGTCCTGCGCCACATTGAGCACGTCTGCTGCCGCTCTGTGTGTGTTAGCACGCTTGTGTGTTTGTCTATGTGTGTGTGTGTGTTTGTGTGTGCTTCTGTATTAGTGTTTAGACCGCGCGCGCTCATTTGTCTGAAGTTTCAGTTGTCAATGTCCTTGCCCGTTGCAGTTGGCCGAATCGAGCACCCAGTCCCGCCGCCTTTAGCCGCCAGCCGCCAGCCGGGACGTGCTCACGTCTCACGCAGCGCGTGTCACGATTCCTGCACCCGGCAGCTGTCACCTGTTAATGCTAAATTGTTGTTGTTCTTCTTCTGCTTGTTGTTGTTATTGTTGCTGTCAACAATTCGCCGTGCATCGAAAGTGTTATCGATATGCGATCAGACTCTACTTTCGATTGCACTGCCAGCCTGTATTCAATATACGAACTCACACACACTCACACACAACATATGCATGTAAAACATACAAGCAAAGCAGCACAAATCGTTAAGGTTACACTTGAAGTCGAAGCATATACATAAGTCGTACTTGAATTCATGAGAATCGCAGAGTAGGGTGATGCCTAACTCTTTTATTTTTATGCTCAGAAAAGTGGTGTTAACCTAGTTTGCTTGAGGTATCGGAGGGAAGAAGATGCATAGCGGTTACTTAGCGGCAAGTTTTAAGCTTCTAAGTTTTAAGCATCACTTTTCCACCCATTCTCTGTCAGTGGAAAGCTTTGAATCTTTTCCAACTACTTTGAAGCCTTATTTGCAACTATTGGAATCAAGGAAAAATTTTTAAAAAAGGATTCAAAAAATTCTGGGCATGATCTTTTAAAAATTAGCTACGGTCCTAGTAAATCGTTAGCAAAAGTATTCAAGAAATATTTAAGATCAGCTTAGGAATTCGGCTTAAAACTAACAGGAATATTTAAATGTTTTATACTTGCAGCTAAATTGTATTTTAGCTGCCTTTACTATATTTAAATGATCTGCAACACATGCATTTAACTAATTCCAAGGAGCACAAAGGTACTTCAGATTAAACACTTTAATGCACATTTTATTTTGTTGAATTTATTTATTGAATCTAAAATTATTTGCAGCTGCAGTTCAATTATGTTTCAGACGAAATATTTGTGAATTTAAGCTTCGATAAATCGAGTTTAGAGAGTTATATAGTAAGTACTCTATAGACCGTCAAATAAGCTGCTGTCTCTAGTCTCTAGTTTTCGCATCATTTTCGCTTTTTAAATTCTGTTTTTATGTTGGTGCAAACAAAAGTTGTGAGAGGCGCCACGAAAATTGTTGTGACCTAAGGTCTAATCTGGGCAAAAGTTGAGCGCAGCTGCTCCAATTGCTGATATCGGGCTGGCAATCTGCATGCTGCACATTCCTATCATTTGGCCAGAAGTAGAAAATTAGCTTTTGGCCCCTTTGGCTGCTGGTGCTTCACCTTTTAGCTACAGTTGCTTGTAGCCTTGTGGCCGTGTAGCCGAACGCCAACAAATGTCAGTTATCAAAAATCGCTGGAGCAAACAAACAAGTGGCAAGAAAATGTTGGCCAAATGCATGATAAGGCCGCAGCCACCACGCCCAGTGCGAGGGCACTGAGCGGGGCATCGATGTCAACAACAACAACAACAACAACAACAAATGGAAAAAGAAGAGGGGCAGAGAAACAAAAGCCGCGACGTGCCATAAACTTTTGGCTTGGGCTACGCGAACACGAGGCAAACACAAAGGAGCGACTAGGAGTCAAGTGCCTGGCGCCGCCCCCCGCCCCGTCCGCCCACGCCCCCTATCGCAGTCACGAACCGAGCAAACAGCACGGCAAACGGACGCCCCATGGCAGGCGCAGGACTATGACTGCGACTGCGACTGCGACGACACTTGGCGATCGCAGTGCTCAGATATGCAAACACACGCGCGCCGCCCCCAACCCAGCCCCAGAAGGACATGCAGATTCTACGCCCCTTCACCACCACCCACTCACAATAGCCCCTTTCAAAGGGGAGTTAACGGAGCAAACGGCTAACGATGCGACGCAAAACGAGCAACAACAACAACGGAGACAAAAGCGACTACGACTACAGCAACAAATGGAAACCGAACACATGACAGGCCAAATCTGACCGACTATGATATACCCTATAAAGTGCCGAAATCTAGGTAATGGTTCACATATACATTTACATTTTCAATTTATATAGAAATTTAATTCAAATAAATCGTTTAACTTTCAAGTTCAATGTTTTTATACAATCGAGCACCAGAAAAAGGTCCTTTATGTTATCAGCAAGTATTATCCATAAATTGCTTGACACATGTCTGAGGATTTTCATGTATATCCGTAAAAATGGGTCTTAAACCGATCGGGAGGTTTATAAAATAGTTTTATGCAACCGTTTCTCACTTATATTTCACAAGTGTGGATGGAAATTGCTTATGTTTATTGAAAGTAAAAAATGCAGCTTCCAATTTACAATCGGGCTGGATGATAAGTGTTTTATATCTGTATATGTATATATACATATACATATATGCATAAAGATATCTTGGTGCTTGGACAAACGGCAACCAAGCTTATATACAATATGGCTTAGACTTATGTTATTTTCATGAATGCACTTGAAGCGAGAATGTATCTGCCCGCCTAGTTGGCTGTGATTGCGGGGTATTGCAAGCAAATCAAAGCCATGCTAACATTTGCGAGCGTTGTCGTTGTGTGGGCGGTGCTCAAGTGCCACGCCTTGCTTCGAATGCTTGGCGCCATAAAGGTTGCAACAACAGCAACAACAACAACACAAACAACAAGGGCAACAACAACAATAACAACAACAACGACAACAATAAGCTGCTGTTGTGTGTCACTTTTGCTTGTTTGTTGCGGAAAAATACTTTTTCCTGAGAGTTGAGCTTCGTGTGCGAGCTGCACAAGCTCTGCCAGTGTGTGTGTGTGTGTGTCTATATTGGTGTATGTGTGTATGTGTGTGTGTGCTGGCATTGCATTGCTTTGGCTGCAACAGCTGCACATGTGTCTTGTCTCTG